CCTCACATAGTGATACGACAAACCAACCATGAAGACTAAAGAGCTTTCCAAGCAAGTCAAGGATAAAGTGGTAGAAAAGCACAGATCAGGAGAAGGTTACAAGAAAACTTCAAAGTCACTGATTATCCCCTTGAGTATGGTAAAGTCCATCATTAAGAAGTGGAATGTGCTTCATACCACCCAGTTACTACCCAGATCAGGCCGCCCTTCTAAACTAAGGCAAGCAGGAAAATGGTTAGGGGTGCCACTGTGAAGCCAACAGTGACTTTGAAATATTTACAAAATTCCATGTCTGAGATGGGAGTCAGTGTTCATACATCAACAATATACCAGTCCCTACACAAAGCTGCCTTTATGGCAAGAAAGAAGCCATTACTGAAAAATAATAATCTTAAATTTCGTAAGTAGTTTGTGACAAATCATGTAAATGATACTACAGACATGTGGCAGAAGGTTTTGTGGTCAGACAAAACAAAAATTGAGATGTTTGGTCTAAATTCAAAGTGTTACATCTGGCGCAAGTCCAACACATCACTCAGTCAACACTATCCCAACTGTCAAGCATGATGGTGAGAGCATCGTGTTATAGGAATACTTCTCATCAGCAGGGACTGGGAAGCTTGTCAGGATTGAGGAGAAGATGGATGGTGCAAAGTACAGGCGAATCCTAGAGGAAAACCTGTTTGAGTCAGCCAATAATTTAAAATTGGGTTGAAAATTCACATTTCAACAGAACAGTGACCCAAAGCACAAGGCCAAAACCACACTGGAGTGGTTTCAAAAGAAAAAAGTGAATGTCCTGGAGTGGCCCAGTCAAAGTCCTGACTTGAATCCAATGAAAATGTATGGCAAGATTTGAAGATTACACTGACGAAAATTAGTTTGCATTGAGAGCTCCATGAGTTATTGTTAGGATTATGGTTAAGAATGTCATTAACAGCGAGGGTATCCAAGTGATGGTTCATTGTAACCTAGTCGGTATAGGTAGTTTTCTATTTCACTGATTTCTAATCACTTCTACGGGATTGTCGTCAGTACTTTGTTAGTTCTTTTTTGAAATTTAGTTCTAATCAGTTTGATTAATTACTTTTGATCACAAGTTCTTAATAATAATTACTCAAGATAACCAAATAACTTTCTGCTAAAAAGTAACATATTTACTGTCGTTTTTTAGATAAACGCATGGCACAGGAAACATATTTGAAAGCTGAGGTGATAGTATTAGTAATATATACATATCTTGCATGTTATTTCCTTTCTTCAGGTGTCATATACTTTGAATTTAAATATTGTTCGAATTTAAACGTTGTTATTCTTTGAATTTAAATATTGTTCGAATTTAAACGTTGTTATTCTTTGAATTTCAATAATGTTCAAATTTAAACGTTGTTATACTTCTGATTTAAATATTGTTCGGATTTAAACAATGGAAGTATAACAACGTTTAAATCCGAACAATATTTAAATTAGAAGATTAACATTGTTTAAATCCGAACAATATTTAAATTAGAAGATTAACATTGTTTAACCCCGAACAATATTTAAATTAGAAGATTAAAAAAAAGCGTCTTTGCTCCGCTTTTTTACACAATAGTACTAGAACTTACATATATTAAGTACTTATAATATATTTTTAATTGTTTAGAAAAGCGTCTTGTTTCAGATCTAGCTTTAAAACCTGCGTAATATCATCTGTACGTTACGATATACTTAATTACGAAACTAAAAAACACGTATATTCGAGATTAAACACTAACCGGATGTGGATCCGTTAAAAACTTGTACTAAATAATTTACGATGCTTTAAACACGTTAATACTGAACAAATTTTAATAATCTAATTCTACCATTCTGCAGCACATATTTTTACATGTTCATGGTAACCACGAACAATCTGGACTTATTGAAGCTGAACGGGCTGCAGCTGTTGTCACTCTGGATGTCACCGTAACGAACAGATCGTAGCCTAAGAGCTGCTGTATGTGTGTCATGAACAGATATATATATATATATATATATATATATAAAGACACCTACCCAGTGGTGGGGCCATTTGTTCATCACGAAAGCTGGACCCAGTGACCTAGCTGGATTTAATGATGCTCCAGTGGCTGGTATCTAGAACACGAAGAAACATTATTTAAATTCAAAGTATATCAACATTTAAATACAAACAATATTTAAATTAGAGGCTTAGCAAAAGTTGTGTAAAAGAGCGGAGCAAAAGACGCGTTTTAGGCTTAGCAAAAGTTGTGTAAAAGAGCGGAGCAAAGACGCGTTTTAGGCTTAGGAAAAGTGATGGAAATCTCGATTAACATTTTGAAAACATAACTTTTTAACAGTACGTCGAACGAAAGGCAGACAAAATTTAACAGTACAGAATTCCCTCTTTTGGTAAGATTTAGAGTCTGTGTGTGTCACTTTTGATCACATTTAATGTTTCTAAATTGTGTCATCTAATCAAAACTAAAACTTAGGCTTAGCAAAAGTTGTGTAAAAGAGCGGAGCAAAGACGCGTTTTAGGCTTAGAAAAAGTTGTGTAAAAGAGCGGAGCAAAGACGCGTTTTAGGCTTAGGAAAAGTTGTGTAAAAGAGCGGAGCAAAGACGCGTTTT